GCTCTTACCGTCGAACCGTTTTCGTTTATAGTTCACCTCGATCGTCCGCTTGTCGTTTCCTCTTTCTTCTTCGCTCCTTCATTCCGCCGCCAGATTTTTTCCTTTCCCTCCCTTTTTAATGATATGTTCATGGGCCTCTTCTCGCTTTGCCCCCTGCTACTCGCTCCCCGATACCCGATCGTCGTAAATCAACCGTTTAATAGGTTTCTAATTGCTGTCGCGGCGGCAACCTCGAATCTTGCCAGTATAGGAGAGGAGGGGGAGGGAGGGGATTACATTATTACAAAAATGGAGTAATAGTGTCACCGAAATGACTCCGTATATTAAAGACGGTGCCGCTTTAATGACTTACTTCTACGATTATCATCGAAGATTGTTATCTTCGATACGCCGAGGATACATCATTTCCTCTTTTCTTTTTTCGATGGAAAAAATAAACTCCTCGATCGATAGTACGAGAGTACGAGAATCTTTTCTCGCATCGCGTCTAATAAACTGCGCTTGTAGAAGAATTTTAATTCGATTTTGATTGTATGGATAAGGTTTTACATTTTTTTTTTCTTTTTTTTTTTTTTCTTCTTTTTTTTTTTGGATAACTTAATGCGATAATCAGTACGCAATGTTCGATTTTAGAATTTTAATCTATGAAAATTGTTAAATGTATATACAGCGTAATTGATCCACCTTTTAAAATTTATAAAAAATTTTTATCGGATTAAAAATGTGTGAAATTTTCTCTCGTCTCCAATTTATTATTGTTTCGTTGAGAACGAAAAAGTAAAATTAAACCATTCATTCAAAATTGCTACGTATATACAAAATACGTAATTGTTATAAATATGTTACAAGAAAACTTGAATCGTGCATTAACAGAATTAACTCTTAAATATTTCACAAAATTTAATATTTCAATTAAATTACTAATTATTTATTTCTATAAATTAGAGAGAAATTTACCATATTACATTTTCTTCGTGAACTTAAAATTATGAAATTATTAAAATAATGAATAGATAAAAGAAAATTCTCGATTATTATTTTTCGATATATCTCTCGTAACACAATTTCACCGGAGGGAAGGATTCGTGCGAAATAAATAAACGAGGTCGCATTATATTCAATAATATCTTCTTTATTACTTCTAAAAATTATATGGCGACGATATGATGGAGCTCAGCATCAAAGGAACGAGAGGGAAAAGGAGGAGCGGGCACGGTTTCTCCGTTCAAACTTGGTGATGGATCAACGTGTTATTTCCTTCTCGAGAGGAGGAATCACGAAACGCGTATAATTTTTCGTGCTCTCCTTTTTTCTTTCCTTTTCTTTTTTTTTTTTTTTTTTTTTTTTTCTTCCTTCTCTCCTCCCTTTTGTTCTCGCGGAAACAACGAGCGGGAATAAAGTGCACGTGATGAGAAAATGGAACGAAAGAGGGAAGGGGTTCTCGATGATATCACAAGGTAGCGTCGATAGTGGCGGCGTTTGATTAAATAGATGAACAAAACGACGAGAAAGTATATTCGACCAGAAATATGGATCTTCCTTCTTTTCTTNTTTTTTTTTTTTTTTTTTTTTTTTTTTTTTTTTTTTTTTTTTTTTCCGTTTTCAAATCGTCGGTTCCACGCTTTTTCATCGATTTTTCTTAACAAAATAACATACATCGCGATTTACGCGTGCTCGCAAAATTTCTTCTATATTAATTAACAATTTCTCAACAAGTCGGACAGTCTCGATCTTACAATAGTATAATATTAATGGCAGTGCTAGACCTAGAGTTTTTCTTTTCATCGGTGGATCTGTCGCGTGGAAAAGGATCGCGTTCGTCTCCTTGCTTGTCATCTCTTCGTTCTTTTTTGTTTTTTTTTTTTTTNTTTTTTTTTTTTTTTTTTTTTTTTTTTTTCATATCTTTCGCGCGATTTATCGTCTCTTATCAGAGATCTCGAATACTGATTTCGTACCGAATTCGATGACGCCATCACGTGAACACGCACACGCACATCGCGGTTAAAAATTAATTTCGACGAGATTTTAAGATCTGCGCGCGTCGAACAGACCTACTTATCTTTTTTCCTCCTCTTATTATAGATTCAAGTTAACACGCATATCCCTGTGTTTTTCTTCTTTTTCGATTATTCGTATTTTTATTCGTTGTAACACGTTCACCGCGTTCGTCGTGTTATCGATTCGAACGACGCGACACGATTCCAAATTGAAAATTGTATGAAACAAAAGGTTGTCGTGAAAGTGTGAACATTTCAATCCGCGCGGTGAACGTGTTAAACGCGTGTTAAACCACGGTCACCGCGTACGATATAAGTACATACATTTCTTTTTCTCTTTCTTATTGCGATCTTTCTATACGATTATATACAATAAACGTAATAACGCGAGTCAAACACATTCTCAGTGTTGTGCTCGAACAATTCCTTTTTTTTTTTCTTTCTTTTTTTCTTCTTTTCTAACGCAAAAAGCGTTCCTTTCTAACGCAAAAAGAAGTCATTGTCAGGGATGTTCGCTCGTTCTTTCGTCGAATCTTTATCGCATCCTCGCAATATCTTAACAAACGTCGCTTTTATTTTATTGTCTCTCTGTTACAAGAATTGTCTTTTTTTTTTTTTTTTTTCTTTACCTCTTAGTCCCGACGAATCGCTCGTTACCCCCCATTTCGCCAAGAAAGAAAAGTAAAATGAAATAAAAACGAAACACAACATACTTCGTTACATTAATTTGTGGTGATTAGCTCGGAACTCGCCAAAAATATCGATGTTCCTCAATTTTTTTTCTTCATATCGGATGTTATTTTGCGTTTGGTTGGTGAAAGAAGGAGAAAAAAAAAAAATATCATCGAAGTTTCGATGATATCGTCTCGATTTCTTCTCGTTTCAAAATTGGGCGAAATGTATTTACCTCGATTAAAAAAAAAAAAAAAAAAAAAAANAAAAAAAAAAAAAAAAAAAAAGAAAAAAAGAAAAAAACCTCAAAGCAAAGAAAGAAAAGATATTATGATATTATAATATGGTAAGTTTTTGTTTCTCGAGTGAATGGAAATCGAGGCCACAACAATAATTTTTCTCATGATAGTGGAAACGGGACACGGAAGCATTTTACTTGCCGCAATTTAGCTAAGCCGAAATAGAAGAGAGCGGGACGGTGCGTTATCATCTGGAATTAAAGTGGCTTTGTTCGTTACGAGCAAAGCGGTCCAATTTCAGTTCCGCCGGAAGTAATAGCGCACTTTGCCAGTGACTATTATTAGACAGGTTGCATAACCGGTGGAACTGCGCTTGGGAAAAATGACTTCCCTCGCTGATAAGCATGGAGAGCACCTGGATCAAGGAGAAAATTTCATTTTCTAGATTAGAACTAGCTCGAACTAGGTCATTCCTAGGTTTTATATATAAAAGTCTCTCTCTCTCTCCATTTTGCTCCTTCCTTTTTTTTTTTTTTTTTTTCCTTCGTTTTACAAAAGAAACGAATGAAAAAGGTATATATATATATATACGTTTATAGGAAAGAGTTTTGTTGTGACCGTGAATTATTACATTCCTATTTTCTCATTTTTTTTCTCTTCTTCTTTTCTTTTTTCTTAATATCACTCGTTCAATTTCGAGAGAAAAGAAATTATTATTTTTCTTAAAAACATAAATTGCATTTATTGCGTCCTGACAATGTCATTTACATTGATTAACTAGTCTATAACAGTTTTATAACAAACTAACGTAGTATCGATGTAAGTACACTCGCATACCTCGTGAAACGACGCTCATATATCTCGTTTTATATTTTTATATTATTTTAATCGTGGTCGCTATATAGAACAACTCTTCAAATTGTTACAAAAATTATTTGTCAATTGACGAATTTGAAAACGAACGAGACGAATCTTTCTTTTTTTCTTCTTTTTTTTTTTTTTTTTTTTTTTTTTTTTTTTT